AAAAAAAAAGCTAGACAGGAAAGCAGGCAAGCAGAATGAAAAAGCATTTGAAGCCAATAGGAACATGGTAGAGTGGTTAATCAAAGCAGGCATATTTAAAGTTTTCTTCACAGTCACAGACAGAAGTCGTGCACAGGGGGTCATGGGTGACATTTCTGGATAAAGATATGCAAGGAAAGAAGAGCAGTAGAAGCTGGTCAGAACAGGTAATGACACTCATATGGGATGGTAGCATTAGAAGAAAATTCTGTCTGTCAAGACGTCCAACGCCAACCATGCAGAACCTCTATGAAATTGCATAAATAGAAGGGGGAATAAAAAACCCCTGTTAAATTTATTCTTTAAAAGCAAACAAAAATAAATCTGCAGCTTCCTGCAGTGTTTTTGCTGAATTGTTATATTGAATATACATTAACAAAACAGCCAGGGTAACATAAAAACAGTTAGCCAATCCAGCAGAGATGCTGAAAAGGCAGACAGAAGACAGCACAGTACTACAGTCATTGTTATAGCCTCTCTCTTTTTTCTTTAATAAAAGCATCTCCAACTTTCCAGCAGCTCTGAAAACACACAGAAGCAGCAGCGTGTTCCCAACATACATGTAGCCTTTAACTGTTATTTTGTTGGATATAAAATGCGATTACTGTCCGATATTTCAGGCTGAGCCAAGTACAATTAGACGACGTTATAAGGTAAGAAAACGAAAGAAAGCAAATGTGTTTGAGCCATCCACCATGACTGTATGTGTCAGTACCACTGAGTAGTAATTCTATGTAACAAACTTGCATTGAGCCACTGTGACGCTGCAAGACTGGGAGACTGGCAAACCAGCGACTAGGTTAGAAAATTCTCTGTTCATTTAAATAAATAAATAGATAAATAAAGCTGATCTGTCAGACCCATCTGCAAGGTCCACGAGAGGGTGTGCGTAAACATTCAGCTCTGTTACCCAAGGTTACCCTACAGTAAACTGTGCCCTTAACAGGAAACACTTTGCCCCATACTGGCTCTGACAGCAACTCAAACAAGCCGAACCAGCAATGCTAAGAGAAACATGGCTCAGTTACAAATGAAAGAACTATAAAAGTAATGAAACAATATATTACAGCTTCTTGCCTCTGAGCTGTTTTATCACAGTTACAAAATCTAATGTGACAGCGTTTTTGGGCCCAGCCCAAACTGAGCAGGGTCTACAGGAGCTGGACTGCTGCTACTGTATTTGTTTTATGAAGTTAATTGAGACACTTAAAAAAAAAAAGAAAAGAAAAGGGCTAATACGCTCATGTAGACTTTTCTTCATTCAGCTCTCGTGGTTGGTTTGGAACAAACTGACAGAGACAGAAGGCGAGAATGACACGGTTTTACCCACTGGTCCCAAACAAACACCTGCAGTCATTTAGAGACTAAGGCAGGATGGAAAAGGTTAAATGATGGCAATGAAAGACAGGAGGAAATAAGAATAAGAGAAGTCATTTGTCATGCTCCACAGTCCTCTTATAATGACATATTTCATCCCAAAGAGCAGCCTAATACTTTTCAAGGAACACGGAGTTGAGACCAGCACCTCTCCTCACTGTGCTCAGAGTGGGGAAATGAATTCACTGGTGCTCCACTTTCATGGGTAAATGTGCTTATCCAGTAGAAAAATGAAAATAAAATCTCTCAAACACACTTCAATAGTTTTGACTCTTCTTGGTGTTTCACTTCCTATCACAGTGTCTTTTTGTGCACATCAACAACTGTTTACATTTTACGTTTTTAAGAGTTAGAAGGTCTAGAACAGATATAAAGGCACATAACCGTAAACGGGTCTTTGACAGGAGTGAATAAGAACTGAATGATGTTGAGCTACTGCTGCCATAGCCAATTCAGTTCCACGGTGCGCCTGGGTGCTCATGGGAAATGTGGTTCTTTGGGTTGTGGTAAGACCTCTTCTGTTTGTCATGTCTGCTACCGTGTAGTGTGTGCACAGGTGTGAGCAGATAATCGTGTAAAGGTGACGCGTGAGGATTCAGACATGTCCGGTGACGGCTGTCACCCCGATGGTCCCGACACTCATCTCCTTGTTTCCCTTCATGAGCTGCTGCAGGCTGGGCAGAGAACCAACGCTCCCCACTGGCATGTGCGGGAACTGCAGCTCGGTCTGGCGAGACTTCCGCCGCTTCGTTGAGCGCTTCTCCTGACGGGACTTAGCAACCGGCTGGCTGAGGGGGAAAGAAAGGCCGTGGCCGTTGCACACGCCATCAGCGGGGAAGACGGGAGAAGGAGGGGGGAGCCGGCTGGCGTACGACTCCTCAGAATGGGTGGACGAGCTGCAGCTGCTAGTCTCTGAGGGGAACTCCTTAGAGGCGCGACGGGGCAATAATGGGCCCTCCTGTGGTGTTGAAGGGGGAGGAGGCAAGGGAGGAGGTGGTGGAGGAGGAGGAGGAAGAGGTAGGGGGCGTGTTGAGGATGGTGGCGCAGGGAGACACGGGTGGAAGCTGTTAAACTTGGGATCCCCGTTAGCGAGGAGAGCAGAAGGATCGAATGCCTTCAGAGTCTCAACTTTGTCCAAAGACTTTGCCTTGCAGCGTTTTTTCTGCAAGGTAAACATAAGAGATGGAGAAATTACTTAAGAAAGATCAGCAGAAAACTAAACAACTAATAACGTTAAGTCACAAACTTAGGAGGAAGGTGGGAAAGTTCAAAAGGGAATGATGGAAATGAGGAAAACAAAAACATACTACTCAACCTGCTTATCTAAAAATATTAAAAACTTGAAGCGAATAAAGCTGGCAGTACACACACAGACACACACACACACACACACACACACACACA